TATATATATATATATATATATATATATATATATATATATATATATATATATACCAAATTGACTCTGTTCAAACATTCCTTCCTCATTCATTTCCATAATTTCTTAACTCTGAAAATATTTTATATTTTAATAAGAGCCAGCGCACGAACATTGCCGTAGTTCCTTACGTCATCTTATGGCTCCTGCACATAGGACGCGGTAATACTTGCCGCGCGGCGGAAGTCCGCGCGACAGCCAATCAATATGTTGTTTTTCCGTAAGAGCTAGAAGGTTATTACGGAAAACAGCATATTGATTGGCTGTCGCGCGAACTTTCGTCACGCGGCAAACATTACTGCGTCCTGTGTGCAGGAGCCATTACGTGATAACCTTACGTTACGTGAGACGTAAGCTGAATGTACGGCAACGCACGAAAACGTTACGTTACGTTACGAAAGAATATATATATTCTTCACGTAAGGCTGGCCCTAAACTTGTGTGTTAACGACTGACGCACATTTAAGTTAAGATGTATTTATTTCTTTAATATACACATATCAGTAAAATAGAAATAAATCTTTATTTATCTATATACATCTGCAGAAGAATATACATTAATTATAATAAAAATAACAATGCACATACTTACTTTTCTATTTACTTCTTAATATTTATTTCTTAAGAGACGTAAGTATGTACGCAACGTTTCTCTGCATCCGCTAATCCGATCCGTGCCTCACGGACACGATTTAGTAATCCGGTTAGCCTAGGGAACTTTCGGTCTAAACAATTTACATCACTGCAATTATATCAATCCGATTGGAAATCCGATTGCTCCACGTAAACACCCCCTGCGTAACACTGTACGCAACTGGAAGGCACCCAATAACTTTCTATTAGATAATCTTATGGCTCCTGCACACAGGACGCGGTAATGCTTGCCGCGCGGCGGAAGTTCGCGCGATAGCCAATCAATATCCTGCTTTCCGTAATAACCTTCTAGCTCTTACGGAAAAGCAACATATTGATTGGCTATCGCACGAACTTCCGCCGCGCGGCAAGCATTACCGCGTCCTGTGTGCAGAAGCCATTAGCTCTTATGAAAAACAACATTTTTAGCGAATTCAGTAGCTTGCACTAGTGCGCACTGAGTTCGCATTAAGGCTTGTTTACAGTACATTCTTATATTTAAGATCGTGTCTTAAATACATATTTAAAAACATTTTAACTAATAAAATAATTCGTACGGATGTTATACATATCATATTATGGTTAAAAATATTTGAGAATTTATTTGAGAATTATTTAAGACAATCTTTAAATATAATAACATACTATGAACAAGCCTTAATGCGCACTCAGTGCACACTAGTGCAAGCAACCGAATTCGCTATTGATTGGCTATCGCGCGGACTTCCGCCGTGCGGCAAGCATTAATGCGTCCTGTGTGCAGAAGCCATTAATATCGACAATGCATATCAACGGTGACGTTCAATTAATACAATACGTCTTGTTAATGAATATTATACCAGCTTAATATACCGTTATTTATATATATCGTCGATATTAAGATTATCTAATAAAAAGGTACTATTTAGTACGCGTATCAAGTGCAGCCAGTGGCTTGGTTTACATTATGCACTTGATACGCGTATTAAATAGTAACTTTCTATTAGATAATCTTAATATCGACGATGTATATAAACAACGGTATATTAAACTGGTATAATACTCATCAACAAAACGTATTGTATTGATTGAATGCGTCGCCGTTGATATGCATTGTCGATATTAAGATTATCTAATAGAAAGTTACTATTTAGTACGCATATTAAGTGCACGATGTAAACTAAGCTATTGCTACGTCCATGCAATGGACGTAGTATACATGGACCTCGCATATGGCCAGAAAAGTGAACCCAACATGTAGAAAGAGACCATAGACATAGGCTCATATTCCTCTTTTATCTATAAAAATGTCTCTAAGGCTGCGTTCCCCACCCCAGATTCCCCACCCGGGTGTATTCTATTCTACTAGAAGTGCTATAGTATATGTAACATATACTGTAGTGTTTCTAGTAATAGAGTGCACCTGGATGAGGAATCTGAACGCACCCTAAAAGAGACTTAGGAGCAACCTGATTAACTGAAAAGCTACATTTAAGGCACTTTTATCGATAAAAGAGAATTCAGAATATGGGCCATAATGGCTTGGTTTACATCGTGCACTTGATACGCGTACTATATAGCAATTTTCTATTAAATAATCTCAATATTGACAATCCATATCAACAACGACGCATTCAATCGATACAATAAGTCTTCTTGATCAATATTATACCAGCTTAATATACCGTTATTTATATACATTGTCGATATTAAGATTATCTAATAGAAAATTACTATTTAGTACGCGTATCAAGTGCACGATGTAAGGCTGCATTCAGATTCCCACCAGGGTGTATTCTATTACTAGAAATGCTATGGTATATGTAACATATACTATAGTGTTTTTAGTAATAGAGTGCACCCGGATGAGGAATCTGAACGCACCCTAAACCAAGCCACTATCTGGGGGTCGATTGTGTATCTTGAAACGGAGTAAAAATTATAAAAATGAGCAAATTCACTAGGCATTGTCCAATGAAGTTACAAATATGTTAGTAAATTTGCTCACTTTTGTCATTTTCACTCCGATTTGAGATACACAATCGACCCCCTGGACGGAACGTATTTCGCGGGGAGTATAGCCACAGGAAAAAGAGGAATAAAAGTCGGAAGTGATCACCAAATATGGCAGCGGCCTATATTACGGAGCACAATATCTTGGTATAGTGTATTGGAAAATGTACAAAATGAATACGTGTGTATGAGTGTGTGTGAATATAAAATTTTATTTTGATTATAACTGTCTGTTATATTAAAACATACCTGTGAAATGTAGTCTTACTATTTTTATGTTCCCATTCTAGTTGTATTTTATTTTTCCGGCTTCTCGGTTCTCCGGTTTTTACAATGGGTGCTTTCCAGTTGCGTACACTATATTACACAAAATCAGTTTATTGGTTTTAAAAACTAATTTTATAAACCAGTTTTAATAAACTGTGTAATACAGTGTACGCAACTGGAAAGCACCCTATGTAAACTAGTGTTTTCTAGTGAAAATTAAAGTTAATAAGCGTAGCGGCTTGAAAAGAGACTGGTATTTCCGACGTGAAGTGGATAATATCTTTTTTATTATTTAGATTTTATTATTTATTATTAAAAAATATCAAAATATAAGCATAGTTGAAAAATAATCCTAACCCTACCTGACATATATACACATTAGTACACACTTTGGCCGGTATTCATAGTTGGATTTTATTTTTAAGGTTGGCTTAAGTTTATCTTTAGATACTCCGTAGCCAATGAAATGATCCGTTCATCATCTGAAGATAAACTTAAGACGGTCTTAAATATAAGATTTGACTATGAATACCGGCCTTTGTTCCAATTGAATCGTGCACAACGTTACACTGCATTTCTGTGTACATATGTGTCAAGATGTGTTAAGTAATTGGAAAGCACTCATACTCGAAACTTATTTCAAGACCGTCTTAAGTAATGTCTTATGGCTCCTGCACACAGGATGCGGTAATGCTTGCCGCGCGGCGGAAGTTCGCGCGACAGCCAATCAATATGTTGTTTTTCCGTAAGAACTAGAAAGTTATTACTGAAAGCAGCATATTGATTGGCTGTCGCACGAACTTCCACCGCGCGGCAAACCTTGCCGCGTTCTGGGGTGCGTTCGAAAACGTTTTCTGCCAGAAGCGAATGAGGTGATCAAGGGATGTGTTGGGGATAATAAGGTACTCAGGGGAATGTTGGTTTTCGAACGACTCCTTGGCAGTATGTTGCCATGCACTGTTGACTTTTTTCAGTTTCTCACTTATTTTTGACCATACAACATCATTTCTAACAATACTACTTTCAAACATAATTTGATGTTGTTTCCATTGATTAATAAGGGCTTTAACAGTGTTCTCATCTTTCCAAAACGCTTTCTTTTCATCTGATGGAGTCTGGACCGAAATTACATCTAGATCCCTATAAACTGATTTTTTAGACTCCATATTAAATGATTCCCGAATGTGCGGGATATCCGGCACTTCGACCGTAATGTTTGCTGCAAAACCAATTTAAAAACCAATTTAAAAAAACATGTTAATACAGTATTAGATATTATGTAAAAATTAATATACTATAGTATATGAGGTTAAAAGACGCATATTTTGGCAGATTTTGTAGAAAAATTTGCGAATAAATATTTACCCATTTTATCCCATAAAAGTAAACATCCATTTTGCGTAATTATGACTTCATTTGTGTCTTGATCTCTTAAAAGCTGATGCCTTGTCAGATCAATTAGGTTAGACATCTTTTTCAATTGTCCCGCCATTTACATTTACCCTCTTTTCCCTACCTAAGGCTGCGTTCAGATTCCTTACCCGGGTGCACTCTAATACAAGAAGTGCTATAGTATATGTGACATATACTATAGTGTTTCTAGTAACAGAGTGCACCTAGGTAGGGAATCTGAACGCACCCTAAGCGAGGTAGGGAGAAATAGTCACTCTCGGATGCGTTCAGATTCCCTACCCGGGTGTACTCTATTACTAGAAACACTATAGTATATGTTACATATACTATAGCACTTCTAGTATTAGAGTGCACCCAGGTAGGGAATCTGAACGTACCCCTCGAAGTGACTTCAATGGGGAGCGGTGCATTTGGACACGGTGCATTTGGACACAGCCAATCACAGCACCGTATGATTAGAGACATTTGTAGGAACAGCGATTTCCCTTGGAACAGCGACTTGTGATTGGACTGTGTCCAATTGCCCCGTGTCCAACTGATATACACCCACTTCAATGTGTTTTCGAACGCAACGATGGAAAGTCCACCAATAGCTCTCGGAGTATTTTCGAACGATTTCAGGAGGATTAAGGCACTCAGGGGATGTTTTCGAACGCACTCCTGTAGGCAAGAGCTATTAAGATGCGAATACGGCTCTGTGATTGGTTCATGACATCTTAAGACAATACTTAAGATGATCTTAAATATACGATCGGGCTATGAATACCGGCCACAGAGCCGTATTCGCATCTTAAAACTTATTAATTATTTTATTAATTATTAATTATTTAAGACGGTCTTGAAAGAAGACTATAAATACCGGCCATAGTCAATCAGAAAGACCCATATTCTCAATCCTCTTTTATCTATAAAAGTGCCTCTAAAAAAGATTTAGGAGCCACTTGATTGGTTGAGAAGCTATATTCAAGGCACTTTTATTGATAAAAGAGGGTTTAGAATATGGGATAAAGCTTATAAGCCACTTTTAGAGGCTCATTTATCGTTAAAAGAGAACTCAGAATACGGACTTTCGGCTGCGTTTTGATATTCACTGCTAATACTGAAAATCTATAGTATACGTGACATGAACTATAGATTTTCAGTACTGGCAGTGAATATCGGAACGCAGCCTTTGAATCGCTGACAAAGATTGGTAGAGATTTCCCGCGCACGCAATCTCATCTCGTATACGTTTGCGAAGTCATGTGCTGTGACAATTAATATCAAAGAGAGAAATCTCATTCATTACTCGTTATCATTTGACAGCAAGAGTGCGCCGCTGGGTTATAACAAAATTTTTGGGTTTTTACAAAATCTCAAGTGGCAAAAAAGCAGACGTTATGACTTCTTTTAATTTCAGCGAGCTTAGCAAGCAACTGAAAGATACCACCCAGCAAAATTCTCGTGTCGGTGTCTCTTTTGCCGGTCGATCTCTCAAATTAGATACTGCAAACGATGGTAAGATATTATTCATCTATTTTGAGGAAAAAAGCAAGTTCGAATAAATTACTTTTATTTAATTTTATTTGCTACAAACTTACTACAACTTCAACTGATTGACTTTATCATTTATCTTGCAACAGAAGATTTATTTCGTCTCTTATGCAGCTCTGCAGGTGGTGGAAGCAATAAACGCATGTCCTTGTTTGGAATATCTGGATTTAGAAGGAAATACACTAGGTACACAGGCTGCAGAGTCTATAGCTGAATCGTTAAAAGAAAAGGGAGCTCCCTTGAAAAGAGCTTTATGGAAAGATATGTTCACTGGTCGTTTGAAGACAGAAATACCAAAAGCATTGGAATACCTAGGCACAGCATTGTGTGTAGCTGGTACTCGTCTTACCGAACTTGATTTGAGTGACAATGCTTTTGGACCGATTGGTATTCAGGGATTAGCAGATCTGTTGATGTCACATCCATGTTATACCCTTCAAGAATTAAGATTGAACAATAATGGTCTTGGTATATCTGGTGGAAAGATGTTGGCTCAAGCAGTATTAAAGTGCTATGAAAATAGTTCCAAAGAAGGTAAGATATTGTAGTAAGATATATGTGTTGATATATATATATATATATACACACATATATATATGTGTATATATATGTATATGATGATATAACAAAAAATATATAAATATAATATTTATATGTACTTTTTAGTAGAAAAAATAACTCTACATTGAAAATATTGCTTTAGAATTTAATGGGTTATATTTTACCATAGGCAAACCACTTGCGCTGAAAGTTTTTATTGTTGGCAGAAATAGATTAGAAAATGAGGGTGCACAGGCGTTGGCACGTGTATTTAATGAATTAAAAACATTAGAAGAGATTGTGATGCAACAAAATGGCATATATCATAAAGGCATTGAAGCAATTGCATATAGTTTGTCAGCTAATCCTAATTTGCGAATTTTAAATTTGAATGATAATACAATTGGCTTGAAAGGAGCCAGAGCACTTGCTAAAGTCCTACCAACTTTTCAAAACTTGGAGGAATTGAATCTTGGAGATTGTTTGCTGAAGACAAAGGGAGCTTTAGTTTTAGCAGAGGCGTTAGCAGTGATTGGCAATCATACGTCTCTTAGAAATTTGGATTTAAGTCATAATGAAATACGTATTGATGGTGGAAAGGCCATTGCTCAGGCTATGATCGATAAAACGCTTCTGTCTAATCTACAGCTGGATGGTAATATGTTTGGGATAAAAGGACGTGATATGCTTAAGCAAATTCTCACCAATTCTGGAAGAATTGATGCATTAAATTCATTTGATGAGGATGAAGATGATGGTGATGACGATGATGATGATGATGATGATGATGACGAAGATGACGAAAATGAGGATGATGGAGAGAGCGAGGAATGTGAAAGTGATAATAATGAAGATACAGAAAGTGACAAAGATAATAAAACGCGAGATAACGGTGCGCAAAGCATAGTGACAGTCGCAGAATTTTTAAAATCACCAGTAGGTGAGAAATTATTACTACTGCAAGGTAATAATGTGCAGGCCTTTATTGATCATGCAGAGGTATGCATTAATATGTATTGACATTAAAAAAAAATATATATACATATACATTAAAAAAATATATATTATACACACCATACATTAAAAAAAAATATACATACATACATACATACATATATATGTGTGTGTGTGTGTGTGTATGTATGTATATGTGTGTGTGTATCACATGTATTATATTGGCAGATTACAGCAGTTAACTGCATTCTTCAACAAAACTTGCTTCTTATTTCAGATTTTAGCCATTCAAAGTGATATAACTACAGAACAAAAGTTTATAGAGGAACTTATGCGAATAACTATGAAAGTATCAGCACTATGCGATAGTGGCTACATGAATGTGAGAATAAAAGCAGAATCCTTGTCAGATGCGTTATATGCACAGTTATTCTCATATGCTATAGAAAAAGATCAAATTTCGAATTTGACTAATGCGCTATTGATCAATCTTGGCTTAATTAAGGTAAGAAACATTATTATAATATTGAATATAATACAGAAACATTGAAATGGATAAAATCTCTTCACTTTTTTTTAGAGTGAAGACAAGAACAATGGGAAAATTGATTGGAACCTGGAGGGATGTTTTAAAGCTTTAGAAAAAATTTGCCAGAGGGATTATTTCTTGGAGCAAACGAGAAGTACATTAAAGTTATTTGTAGATAAACCAGTGAAGACTAGTCGTGCAAAGGTAGTAGATCCCTTCCGAGATTCCAAAGCTGCTCTCAAAACTGTCCTAGATCGTACTCAAGTTACATAAATTTATTCTAAATCACTATATTTTAACATGAAATGTACCTATTTATTTTTATATGTTGCATGAAAAATAGATTAAACATTTCACACATAAAATTGTACCTAAGTAAACTAATACTATTACTGTGTGTAAATTCTCCTAAACCTATAATCGTTTTTTTAGTTCTTTAGGGAGAAGATTTTTAAAATATTGGATAAAATTTTGTACTCTTAAAATTTCAAACAAAACTATACTAAAAATACTTTATAATAATTTTACTTTTGTCATAAAAAAATTAATATATAAGTCGTAGATTATTATATGATTAAAATGAAAAATACATTTATTATCTTACATTATATGTATATTCATTTTAAACTTTTATAATTACTTCTGTAATTTTTAATCTAACAAAAAAATAATTGCACCATGTAAAAGTAATTATTAAGGTAAAATTTCTACAATTACTCTATTATACTATGAAAACATATTAAAAATTAAAAATTTTTAAATTTAATATCTATATATTAATACGTATAAAAAAAATATGAATTTTTATATATAAAACACATTGTGGCGCTAAAATAGTGGTTGATGATACATAACATGTAATTGATGTGAAAAACTTAAACAAGTATTGTGTGACTTAAATAAAATGTTAATAATTAATGAAAAGTCACGAAAAGTGAGAGAGAGATTGGAAGATTTAACATTGAAATTTTTACAATTAATCTATAATATTGAATATAGGTTATCGTGGAATAAATAATGCTTGCGATATAACTCAAAATGCATTTAGCAAATATTAATCCTTTAAAATCCATCAAAGTGCACTCAGCGATGAGTATCTCACTGGACGTAATTATTTCACGACACACAACAGGATGGTATGTCACGAATTGATTGGTTTCTATTTAGTAAATTTCCTATTAAAAATTTATACTATTAATTTAGTTGCACTTTAATATCTTGAAGCAAAAAAAAACGAATTGTACTTTATTTCAGTACATAAACAATTAATTACTTGCGTGTCTGTTAAATACAGTTCAGGCAGACGTAAATATACTACTCTGGTGAGTCTAATTCGCCATCCGATCATAAAGGGTTAATTATTGCTCTTATCCGTTCACGTATTGTATTATATAAATAAGAATCTCTTTGAAAGCTGTTGTAACTTATAAAATAAGATATCACGTAAATTATTTCACAGTAATCGCGAATGCTGGATCCCAGCCCGGATGAAAAAGATCGACAATTAATTGAGCACAATGTGATGACGATTGATCTTTCATATACATTGTCACCTAGAAAGAAATAAGAAACGATCAGAAAGTACAATTTTTTTATTCCGTCCGTTATATCCAAAGTTTATATGTATTATCTTTGTACATGTGATACGTACAAGGAAAAGAACCAACTTCAGTTTTGCCTCAGTATTACAGTCTTGTCCTAAAGTAGACGGATAACTTATTACCCCATCATTTTTGCGTATATCAGCTGCTATTAATTCTAGGCAAACTTTCTCTTCCATATTTGACGTTTCCAATATAGATGCTACAGCGAATACAAAAATTAGTTTACATAACCAATTTATGATACGGTTTTTTGTATAAAAATATAATTACAATAATGTGCAACTATGTGATTGTAACACATATATCTTTCATTAAAAATGTCCTCAAATAAAAATAACTCTATCGATGTTAAACTTACCTTTATCGGAAGCTTCAGCAGATAAGAATCTTGTTAAAAGCTCACTAGACTCGGCTGTATCGGAAAATAAGTGCGGATAGCGTCTCAAAAGCAATTTCGTCAGCAACATATTACTACGATTTCCCGCTAAAGTATCAGTAATAGAAACTACTTCATCCTCTGTTCTTCTCACTAATAATACAGTTCCATTATATCTATGAAATAAAAGAAACAACGATATATGTATCGTATACGATACATGTGTGGCGACAATTATCGGTAATTTAATAAGGTAAAATATCATAGCAAAAAATATCATGATTATATCATGATTAAGGCGATATTCTGGAATACCTACCTATTCAATTGCTCTGCTACATTCAGATTGAAATAATCTCTAATTATATTGCGGACTAATCCTTCTAGAGATGGGGACATTGTTTTAATAGCCAATGGAAGTACATCATCGAATGTAGCATCTAATATCTATAGAAACACAAGTTTATAGAACGTATCCGATATGCATGTCGACGATATACAGGTTGAATCTAACAGGTAAGGGACAAACGAATAATTCGAAAATTACGCGAGATACTAACTAAGGAAATTACTAATTATTAAAATTATAGTGTCAGAGGAGTCATCGACTGTTGATTTTGGATAATCTTGAAAGGTATTTGAGATCGAATTTGCATTTTTCAAAGCTAGAAAGAGTACTTTTGAGTTAACCGATGAATTTTACTCGCGAAAATAAAAAACTTTTACTTTGAAATGTTTTTTCTCCAAAATTGATCTGGAAGTTTTTAAGATAATCCCGAGATTTGATTTGAGTTTGCTATTTCTCGAAAACTGCAACAGACGTATTGCAAGAAAAATTTTGTCCAACGTCAGCAGAATTATCTGATTGTGATTTCAATTAACCTTGGATGACTGGCTTTAACTTTGATTCACAGTCAAAGAAAATGCGTAAAACTTTCATAAAATCAAGACGTTTTATAACAAATGCTCAAAATTTAATTCATTTATCTCTAAGTAGATTTGCGGCTTTTTTCAAGCCTTTTCGCACACATAGTTTCTTTCGTCCGCCTTATGAAAATATGATGCCAAAAATATGGCAAATTTTTTGAATTTTGTGTTATTCGCACCGTTTTCGAATTGTTCGCCGTTTGTTACTTCCTATTAAATTTACCCTATACAATAGGGAAAGAATCGAGAATAATGCTCACCAAGCTCTGAACAGAGGGATAGTTCATTGCGGCCCAAGTAGCGGTATACCCTCCAATGCTCCAGCCATATAGAATGATTTGCGTTTCGGGGAATTTCAGATGTTCGATCGCAAAGCGCATTATACAATCGACGGCATTTTCTTCTTGATTTGGATACGGTGCGCCCTTTATGGTCATTGTCATGACTTACTGTTACCGTTACACAAGTGCAAGTTGGCCGAAGGGGAAGATTTGTCATTACTCCAATGTTTACATTTATTATTTACATGCAAGCGACAATAACTGTAACATCAGCAAAATTTCATTGTCGTGATAGAGCATCGACAGAGTAATAACAATTCTTCCCGCATCGGTTTGTTATTGTCAAATATCATAAAACTGAATTTATTGTATGTTACACTTACAGTACTACCACCGAAACCTGGATGATTCCAACCCAATACTGAATAGCCCTTGTTCAAAGGAGTAGATATGACGCCCGTCTCGTAGAAGCCACAGTTTCCTTCGCAACATACAATTAGTATATTGCCATTAGCGCTTCTGTAAAATTGCATACATGGAGAACGAATTGCCGCACAAGAGCTGTAAATAATATTGTAAATCGTTTGTGTTACTTGTTACGCCGATCGACGAACATCGCGTCAATTTGATTTTTGTCAGAGGTCACCAATTTGAATCTTTCCCCACCTTGTTTGATCAAGTCCATTCTACCTTTTAGTAATGTGGAGCCTTTAACACAATAATATATAATGATAATTTTAAATAACAGGGAGAAAATATTAATCAATATAGCAATGATGAATTAATGTTTTACCTAGTGCCCAATTGATGACAGATAAACTACCAGGATAAATTAACATAATAGCCAAAGTATGTGCCACCACATAGGAGAACAATTTACATGGTATAGCAAATAGATACTCTCTGCCACTTTGTTGTCTCAGACGTCCACTAGCCTTACCAATCTTTTCCAATGTCAACTTGTCTGCAGTTTTATCACTAAAAAAAAAAAAAGTAAAAAAGAAAGATGAGAAAACAATTTGTATTATACTATTTACAAAGAGATGCATAGAAACTATCAGAAATATATAACACTTTAGGCTTTTAATCTTTATAGACTTTTGCATTAATTTGAATATTTCTTTGTGTAACACATATAGATACTGACAGCTTTCTAAAATTTGGAATGTAATTACTAAAAATTTATAAAAGTTGTAATTCAAAGTTAAACTTCAAATTCAGAGAGAAAAGGAATTTATTATTAACAATGAAATTAAAAACATCTCTTAGGGTTATTGTTGAAAAAATACATGTCCAACCTTTGAAATTCTGACACATCAAAGTCCACAGGCCAAGCCCAGAATTCAAAGTCATACTTGTGAAGTTCTTGCTTTGTTTTTTCATTATATTGAGAGCGCGCCTCAGCCAATGTTTGTACAAATTTCACATATACTGGATTATTGATACGAGAGTAACCACGTGCAGCCAATGAAGCAATAAGAATTGCACCAGCACTAGCAGCTAATTTACTTAAACAAACAGCATTGTCCATTAAGGAATAATTACGCTGGTATATAAATGTGGCAACAAATGGTATGGCGTAGAGACTTATGGACCATATCGCAGCAAACTGTAACATCACAAAAAATAATGTGCAAGCTTTGTAAAAGTTGGTAACTGCAAAAACTACGATTAAATCAATTGTATACATGTGTGCGTATGTATCTTGTGCGAAAATGTGACAACAAAAATTGAGCAAATCCTCAGTGGCGTTTTCTTGTTCGCAAATCATTGCAAAATACTTACAGGTATTACAATTTGATCGCCCCATCGCTCCAAGTTTTTGGGCTCATATGACTTCTGTAACATATACACGAATAACCTCAGCTACATGGAATTTCTATGCAAAACATTGAATAAATATCCTACTTACGTCAACCAAATGACCAATCCATGTTACCTCATAGATCTTGAATAGCCGTGGACTGAACGTACACTTCCACAATGTTCTGATCAACGACATCCCGCCCTCACCCTTCGCACAAGTCAGCTGAATCACGCGTATGAATACGTACGCTTGTGGTATGTTACCGCTAATTAATCGGCGATGCGTTTCTCAAACTTTCAGACAGCACACACGACACAAAAAGGTAGACTAAAACATTTTTCATTTCCGCCACGTCCGTCGAACAAGCGTCATCTAGATAGACGACAAATAATTCCGAGCTGCCCGGAGAAGCTTACGTATTATTGCAATATCATGCTGGACTTGTGCGATGTGTAACTTACGTTTCAATTCATCATGTCCATTTTTTTCCCTTTAATTTGACAAACGAGAATTTTATAAATAGCACTGTCACATTACGATTAGAAATTTCAAGCGTATAAATCACATGTTAAATATGATCGATACCGAGGAAACAGGCTATCATCGTTGTGATTGCGCGCATATGATATGTGTGTGTGTATGTGTGTGTGCGTGCGCGCGCGCGTGCGCACACATGTGATGTACATGTATCAGTAGATGTGCTTTTCTTTTTTTTTTTCTTTAACAAAACGTACTGTTCCTTCCTGTCATGGGTAATATTATTGACACGCGCGTGTCTTCACTCGAATACACGACAATTGAGATGTCAGTTCTCAAGCACAATATGCATTTCTACGAATAAAACTTGTGACATAATATTCAAAAGTTCATTGCGGATCTCGGATATACGAAGAGTCGGCGGATCATTTAACGACCGGTAGCGAGGTAAGGAACAGCCGACGCAACGACGTGATTGCTGAATTCGCTCGAGTTCACCAAGACGCGTGACAAAACCGCGCTTTTCGTTTGCTCGCGAAATCACAGCTTCGCGCCAGCCGTTTGGTCGGCGTGCGGTCGATCGAGCTGCCGCGCCGCATGATTTTCGGAACGTCGACGGAGCATAGAACTCGCTGGAGAGAGAGTACGGTGCAGCGCAGCGCAGCGCAGGCGAAGTGGAGAACCGTGACGTTGATATCGTGTCCGTGTGATAACCGACGGCTCGCGGCGACTTTTTACAATATGTCAGATTGGGACACCGCGCCTATTACTTTGCGTAAACGCACGCCGAAAGCGTCCACGCTGAAAACCGAGAAGGTAATTTACACCACGTTTTTTTACGCGCATGTAAACGTGTATGTATATATATATGTGCGGCTCGTAGTGATAGCAGCCGATGACCATGTATGCGTCGTGATTGTGATGTAACTGTATGTTTATTTACAGGCGGTGAACGATGCGCGGCGGCAAGGTTTCACCGTGGAGACACAGGCAAAGTGTGAGTATCGGATTGTCTCCGCGGATGTTTCTGTTCTTAGAACGAGCTTCTCGAGCGACAATCCGAGTCGGTTGTCATGACAAATAATATATGTGGCGAAAGAAATGATAGTTTCGCATACTTTACAGTCGCAAGCGCGACTGCAATGACTCGAAATCAACAATTTTCTGATGGTGAAATTAATTTTTTATCGTAAGCTTTTTTGTTATTAGTATCCTAAGCTTCATCAAAACATAATGTTTCTTCTCTGGAAAGTGAAGATATTTGAATATAAAAGAAAATTGGTCTCAATACAGACTTGTAAATAAGTATATGAGTTGTGTGTATTATTTATTTCAGATAATAAAAGTTATTATTTTACTAATTTTCTTGTAATATATTGAGAGAATCTGATATATTATGACATATAATAACATTTTTAGTAGACTTGAGACCCCAAGCATAATTTTATTGTATTTGATTAAAAGTCCACACATTAATGTAAATTTTATAAAATACCCCATTCTTGGTGACAATATAAGAGCGGTAAGAATATAATAATTTTGAGAACCAATCTTTTTAATCAGGGGGTGGTGGTGCAAACAGACAACACGTAACTACAAAGAACACAGCTAAATTGGATCGAGAAACAGAAGAGTTGAAGCACGATAAAATTCCACTTGACCTTGGCAAACTTATTCAACAAGGCCGACAGAGTAAAGGATTATCTCAAAAAGATCTAGCGACGGTAGAATATCTTTATATCTTCTAAAATTATAGAAATATAATTATAATCATATGTGGAGGAGTTAACTCTGTCTGCAGCATCCAGACCTAATCCATCGTGCCTATCCACATCACAGTTTCCAGCTATAGCCCAAAGTTTGTTCTCCTTCTAAGCAAACTTTTAACCAGCAGCCACTTTATCTATTTAGTTTTGACAACAGTGTAATCTAACACATTTCAGTGTTTGGATATTTTTGATATTTAATTATTCTCATTCACATTTTACAGAAAGTTAACGAGAAGGCACAAGTTATCAACGATTATGAAGCAGGACGTGGAATACCGAACCAGATGGTCATTGGCAAGATTGAGCGAGTATTAGGGGTCAAATTGCGTGGTAAAGATCGTGGAAAACCGTTAACGACCCCCGGGACAAAGAAGTGAATCTCGGGGGAAGGAAACTATTTTCTACACTTACATGGTTCTCATGAAAGAACTTTGGCAGAGACGGTAGAATGGAAAGCTACAAACCCCTACCTTTCTTTTCTTCGGTTATTTTCATATAGTGGATCACAGAGTAGCTTATACTTGTTTTTACATGCAAAAATTAAAAGGATATTTTAGGATAATACAGACATAACAAACTTGTAATATTAACAAAGGTTCATTGAGTTACCTTCATCATTATTTGTTACAGACATTTCAAATGTACATTACTAATGCTACTATTAAGAGCAAAATATATTTGAGCGGTAAAATAAAATTCTTAATTTATGATAAAGTATTTAATATTTGTTTACTGAGTACCATTGTACAGAGGGGTTATATGCAGGATTTAAGAATTAAAAAAAAAAAAATAGATGAAACATTCATATATGAAGTAGAACATAGAAATAAATATAAAAAGAATGCCTATCTTGAGACAACACTGTATATTTATATCTCTTTTCCATACAAGCGTTTTCTACGAACTATTCCTTAGGATGATCTTCATATTCAGTATCTGCACTTCTTTTTCTCAGTGCTGTCCTCAAAGAATATACAAGAAAAAAAAATTGAAAAAGAAAAAAATTATAAATTCTTGAATACTCAATTTTATTTATGTAGATTCCATAATATAAACGTTTCTTTTCGTCCACTAATCTTTCCTCAACGCGAAACTAGTGTCTTGTATTCCATCCTTGGTAATAATTTTGATAGTTATCCCATCACCTGTGTATATATCTCTTTCAGCTGCAGATGTAAAAACATCCTTTAGAATAGCCACAGCTTTTTCTTGAGTTAAGCTCTCAGGAGTGATGCCTTCTTGATTCTTGTATCCAATCTGATAGATAAAAATGTTACCATGTAATATTAACAACATAAAGAGATTTTGTTGTTAAGCATCTTTTGCACCGTTTTTCTTTTTTAGAAAAAACACTGTTTAAAGTAATTTAAAGTATATACTTGATTATCGAGAAGTGGCTGCAAAAGTGCGCCAGCTGAGCCACCTGCTCTGTATGTAGTTTTTTCACAATGTCCAATAGGATCATAGCTATATATACATCCTTTTCCATTTTCATCTAATCCAGCAAGTATATTACTGACATAATATGGAAAGAATCTTTTATAATACAGCATTGTTGAAAGCATCTGTGCAGTTGCTGGGGTTGACATTTCTTTTTGATGTTCATGCTTGTACATCTAAAATAAAGTTATATATTACATATAGCTGATAATTTTTTAATATAACTTATGATTCTTTTGTATATTTGCGCGTACACATACATACACATAACATTCTTGGATATCATATATTTTATACAATCTAAATTAATTATAAATGAATAGAATTTATACCTGCATACGAGCAGACAAGAGACGAGTTAAAGTCAAAGTATCGCACCAACAACCAGAACATCCTAAAATAGTAGTTTTTGACAGTGGGAATAACTTGTCCTGCTGCCGGGTGTAAATCGAAAATCCTGTACTAAGACGTGTGTCTGCAGCAATGACACAGAAGTCGTTGCCTGCAAGAGCCACTACACTCCTGAGAAAATAAAACAATATGACCAAAATATCGTAGAATATATTTATCAAGGAAAATATGACAATGTAATAAATAAAAATATCAGTCAATTGTAGAAAGAGATACTCGTTTGATATTTAAAACTACTAAATTATATTGACATAAAAAGGTATAGGTTATTTTTATTTAAATTACCCTCCATTGTCAGCATACGGAGTAAAGCTCACTGTTCTTGCTCCTTGCACTTCATAATCAGGCAAATGTCCTTTTCCATTGTCTATTAATAGAGCCATTACTGTATTTAGTGCAGTCTGGAAATGTAAACGCTGATACGTACAAACGAATGACACTACAATTTGTAGCAAAGATGGAGCATGACATCAAAACAGTCGTTGATTTGCGAGTCGTCTTGCGCGTTTTTTCACTTGTCATGCGCATTACCGCTATATTAGGTGCATCCACTACTGCACCGATTGAGTGCATCCATTACTGAGTATTCAGTGAGCTCTTGTATCCGATTGGCATATTCCTTTAGTTCTAAAAATATACACCAATCAGATGTAAAAGTTCACTGAGCGCTTTGTGAGCGCTGGTGTATGACTGTGGTGTAGTACTGGTGTATGAAGTGATTATCGCGATATGTAAGTTTCAGAAAATTCATAAAAATAAAAAAGTTGTGTAAAAGAGATTATTTGAAAAATACACATTTCTCAAACAATAAAACGCTATATATAAATACTAATTATAATTAACTACTATCAAGTTGATTTTCTGTTTTTTTCCGAATTTACGGAGATATTCTTGTCACTTACGTCGCACATTTAGCGCTAAATGCGATTATTTGAGAATTATAAATCTTGTTCAATTGATCACAGCAATGCGAAAGT